ATCCAACAATACAGACGGGCTGAAGGCTCAATAGTGCCTCAGCAGTGCCACAGGCTGATCGCTTCCAAGCCACACCTCACTGATGCTGGAGTTTGTGCTAAAGGAGCCCCGACCAAGTATTGAGTGCATAAATGAACATACTTTAAAGAACTTGAACATTTCTGTTTTGCAAATCCTTTTTTGATTGATCTTAGGAAATATTCTAATATTTTGAGATACTGGATTTTTGACTCTCATGAGCTGTAAGCTCTAATCATCAAAATTAAACCAAACCAAACAAATGTACTTTACATGTAATGAATCTAGATTCTAGAATATATGAAAGTTACACTTTTTGAAATAAGTTTTAAAAAAAAAGAACTTATTTCACAATATTCCAATTTTTTTGAGATGCACCTGTATGTATGTATATATTATTGATAGTATGTATGTATATATGTTTAGATAGAATATGAAAAGGAAAAAATGTAAACCTTTTCACGCTGTTTTACATTGATGATACAGTGGTGGAGTATTGGCTACAACATGGCTGTTGAATATTTCCCCAATTTTTATAGGAAAGCAAAATTAAATACTTTTAAAGTGTAGAAAAACTATATTTGGAATTGTTAAATCAAACCTTCAAACTTTTAAACAATCACATAGTACAGTAGTAGTACATAGTACAGTATTATTGTACCTTTCTAGTAATATTTCTTTTTTGTACTTGAATTGTTATATTAGAGTGTATTGTTTATAATATAACACAATATAATGTAATACATAATGATATGAATATGAAGTATTATTACATTACAAAAAAATATTTTAAAGGAAAGCACAGACTCACAATCCCTACTGCTTAATTTGTTTCAGTGGATATGAAATTTGCTGTGTAACAGTAAATGGTTCAATTAATAATGCATCAAATTTATACAGTTCCCTACATTGCAAAGCAGTCTAAAATCCTTTTAAAAATCCTTTTAAAAAATCGCATCCATAAACAATTAAATTAAACAATCCACCAGCAAATCTTCATTACTATAATTAAAAAAATGTTTTAATCTGTTCGTCATCATGCCTCTTACTTGCCGACATATAAAGCCGGGTCACTGCCACTAGCAGGAGATGTGGAGTCATGAGTTCATAGCGCAACTACATTCAGAACCCACGAGGAAGCCGGGCGCACATTGATGACATCATCACAGTAATGCTGACGCTGCTACAGTAGAGCTTGTGGCTCAACCAAAGTATTATCTAGTATTATCAGTCTCCTAAACGTGTTTCCAAAATGAGCACAATGTTTGCAGATACGATCTTGATTGTGTTTATATCTATTTGCACAGCATTATTAGCGGAAGGTATGTACACGCTATCTTGAAATAGAGTTTCACATGTCAGAAAGCAGTTAACGTTAGCGAATCCCTTGGAAAATGTCCTAAGCTCAGCAAATACAGGACAACCGCATTAGCTCTGGCGGTGCTGGATAACAGCTCGCCTTGCTCTGTTTCTACAGGTATAACATGGGTTCTGGTGTACCGCACAGACAAATACAAGAGACTAAAGGCCGAGGTTGAAAAACAAAGTAAAAAACGTAAGTCATATGATCGAAGCATGTTTGTCATTTTTATGTATTTAATACATGTGGCCATTGATTCAAATTCTGTAACATGTTTCAGTGGAGAAAAAGAAAGAGACAATTACAGAATCAGCTGGGCGTCAACAGAAGAAAAAAATTGGTAAATGAGATTATTAAAAAAAAATTGATGATTTATGTATCATGATGATTACTATTAACAAATACTAAAATAATAATTATTATAACAGACAATTACTAAAAATATGCTGTTGTTGTTATTATTATTATTAACAAGTAATAAAAATTTAATTCATATTTATTCTGCAAGGTAAGTGGAGTATTACTGTAACCACAATGTTGTATTCAACAGAGAGACAAGAGGAGAAACTCAAGAACAATAACAGAGATCTGTCTATGGTATTGTAATATTTTCTATTGCAGTTCTTAAATTTATATCACACAATTCATTGTTTTGTGTTATATCTTATTAATTCTCATAGATAATGTTATGAGCTGTCTAACAAGTTGCACTTTTTTTGGCATTGTCTTAAAGATATTTTTAATTGCAGGTTCGGATGAAATCAATGTTTGCCATTGGCTTTTGCTTCACTGCTTTGATGGGCATGTTCAATTCCATGTATGTAGACTTATTCAGTGCATTATCACTGAATCGCTTTGTTATAGGCTAAATGTTCAATTATTTCTTAGACTAATAGTGGTATGATTTGCTAAAGTTACCTAAAATCGCTACTTCACTTATGTTTAAATTTTTTTTCCCCCTTCATTTCAGCTTTGATGGTCGTGTTGTAGCCAAACTTCCATTTGTCCCGTTGTCATATATCCAAGGCCTCTCACACCGCAACCTCCTTGGTGAAGATTACACAGACTGTTCCTTCATCTTCCTCTACATCCTGTGCACCATGTCAATTCGACAGGTAATGCATATATATATATATATATATAGCTACAACTTTTTGGCCTGTGCTACAAAACTTTCAACCTCTGTAGCACCAGTGCTATGTGAAAAAAAGTTAACGTACAGCCCTGTATATATATATATATATATATATATATATATATATATTTCTTCTGTATTTTTGTGAGTGAATGGAGCACGATCCAAGTGCAATAATGCAATGGCAGATTTGAGGGAAGAGTTTAGGCTTTGACACTGTTCATTTCTGTAATGCATGCCCTAACCTTTTCCACTGAATACTTGTGTTGTTTCAGAATATCCAGAAGATGTTGGGTCTCGCCCCCTCCCGTGCCGCCACCAAACAGGCTGGAGGATTTTTAGGACCTCCTCCACAAGCTGCCAAGTTTTCATAAACATTTGTAGACCGTGGGATACCTACTTAAAAATATCAGACACTCAGTTGTACATTGTGTGAACAGCACTCAAGAGAGATTGATAGTCAGGTTGTGCAGCTACCGTTACCTGTGATGACCACAGAAGTCATGTGCATTGTGTCTTTTTGGTTTATTGTTGTTTTTTAATCAGGTAAATTTATAACTTACATGTAGTCACATTTCTAACAGAAAGTGTTCCTTGAGCAAAGATGGTAATGAATGTAAATTCAGTCTGAAGCATTTCTGTAAACCTTTATGTTGCTCAGAAGGCTACAGTGATTCTTTGTTGTAACTATTATCATTTTATGATTACCTACAAGCAATATTAATTAATATAACTTCATATTTAGAATTTGAGAGATTAGTTTGATCGGTGGGTTCTTAGAATGTTTATCTCTTTTTTTTTTTGGGATTGTCTGTAAAAGTTTTAAGTATAAGGATTTTGTGAGTTTAGACCTTAAACCCTTGAGCATTTGTTCCTCTAGTTTTTATTATTTCACTATTTAATGTTCAAATAGCATTTGCACATGATTAAATAAATGAATAAAAAGGAGTTTTACAGTTGTTTAAAAAAAAAAAAAAAGTAAAATGGTATGCATAATACGGCCTAGGCCAGAGTCATTGTTTTGTAATTCAGAGTAAAGTTTTAGACTTCTGCAATTGTCCCCCACAGGATAAACTTTTTGTAATAGTCTCGGATGGTTAATCTAGAAGTAATACTGTTTGTTTAGGTAGAGCATAGATTTTACATATGTTATAGAATTGACATTGAACATTTCATTGCCAAATTTATTAGCGCAAAAGACAAATAAATTGGCTGACGAGTACATAACTAGTGATAGATGGAGAGACAGAAAAATGTAATTCAGAAAGTTGAGAAGACACGTCCTCCCTAGTTATGTCCCAGTTAAATTCTCTTTCAAGCTGGAAAGAGCTGACATTGTTGCAATACACTCTAGTCTATTGTTAGTATTGTCTGAGGTATACAAAGTGTTTTTTTTTTTAGAGTTCATGGTTATGTTACAGAGGCGCAAGACAAGAATCATGCGCATCAAACGGAAGATGCGTTTCTGGGCCCGTATTCACAAAACATTTTATCTGCTAAAAGTTCTCCTAAATAGCAGTAAAAGTTTTTAGCTAAGAGTTTTCTCTTAAAGCCTATTCACAAAGCTGCTGAGACAAACTTTTACTAAGGAATAGAGAGAAGTCTTAAGCTAAGAGTAAGGGCAGGGTTGACCTTGCTATGGATGATGTCAGCATACTTACTAACTGCACAGAGTGATTGTCTCTGTCAGAGATTTATTCATAGAAATATTGTAGAGTGCAATATTATGCTGCCATATTCAAATAAAGGTTTAAAAAAATGTTAATTGCCACATACAAATAAAGATTTTAAAATGCAGGATAAATGTCTCTAATTAAACAAGTATATGTTCAGCTTGTTGTCAGCCTCTTACACGTATACTTCTCATAATTAGTGAATATGCATATAAACAGCCTTTTAATTAACAGAGTAGAATAATCATGGCTGATAGTAATACATGCAAATGTAAAAAAAAAAAAAAAACTGGATGCAAGAACAGCTGTTACTTCTTGCCCAACTGGTTAATGAAAACAAGGATATAATCAAAGGAAATTTTGGAGTTGGGATAACCTCCAAAACAAAAACCGATACCTTTTTAAAAGGTCATTATCATCAAATGTTTCTAAAATGTTTATGTTCCGAGGCAGACTGCCAGCAACAGCCGTTTTAGGATAGTTTGTGGCTTGGTCTTAATGATTTAGGAGTCCTCTTCACTACTCCCAACGTTTCACAGATTTAGGAGCTAGTTTTAGTGCTAAAACGCTTTGTGAAATACTCTTAGAGCAAACATTTAGGAGTCCTACATTTAGGATTGACACGCCCATTATGTTTAAGATTTTCCCTTAAATCGGCGAGTTATGAGCTACTTTTAGCCCTAAGATATTTTGTGAATACGGGTCCTGATGTTTTGCGCAATTCTTGCCTTCTGGAACTTTGGCCAAAATGTGTTGAAACTATAAAAATGTGGTCTAAAGGCGGTGCTTAAGGTATAAACCATCCCATCCACCCTTTATGTAATCAAATTACGGGGTCAGCTTGAGCAACCATATGCTTGAAAGTCGAAAAAATTGTTGAGACGTACTTTCACTCCACGACCACAGAAGGCGAACCATCTACTTTTGTGCAGTAAACAGCTTGTGTTGAAAAGGTAAAGAACATGCATTTGAACGACTGCTTAGTGCATTGCATGCATTTTTGTTATAGTTGTACAATTAATGCATAAACATGAATAGTCAGTGCTGCATTCTAATTAGTGAAGACAAAACTAAAAACAATGTAAATGTAAAAAAACAACTTCAATGACCTGTAATGGGGCGTTTCCCCGTTGTAGCAGCAGCAATGTGGATTAGCCAAGTGCACTACGAACTAGTTATTCGAAGTCGGTGCATGCATAAACCGTTGTCATTGCACGTTATTGACACTACTGCTTGCATGTGTGGTTGGAACAAAAATATATTGCTAACAAGTATTTACATTCACCGAGCATTTGTATGACTCCCGTCCAGACCAAAATGGCTCAGCAACCGCTTCTGTCGCTGCCCGAGTTTCAGAGTGTTTCCACGGGTACTTTGGTTGTGAAGGAGCCGCTGAATTTCTGGGGAGGAGCGAGAGTGAAGCCGAAGGACACAAAGAACTCTGAACCAGTATACGAACCTGCAACTGGTATGATTTTTTAAAACTAATAAATTACTTTTAGGTCCTGTGCAGTTTTTTTTTCTTCTAGTTTTGATTCCACTATCGAGCGGTTCGCCCTCCTCATGTGCATTTCCGTTTTGATATCTTATGATCAGCCAGACAGCTGACCAAGTAATAACAATATTCATTTTATATTATTAATAAACATGGCAAAATATGATTAAGCTAACCAAAACATATACAAATTAACATAATATACAAACTAGTGGCACATGGCATAATAATGAAGCCCATGTCAGCAGTATAGTAAAGGAACATAAAAACTTGCTGTAAAGCAGGAGCAATTGGTAAAAATGTTTCAGTACAGAATGCAAAATGAGAGGCTGCTCACTGCAGTATGAGGAGCCAATGGGTGGAGCTAGACACCCCAACTACACCCAAGTTCACAGTGTTGTTGCAGATAAAATATATAATGAGAAAAATACATTTTTATCAGGCTTTATGATTAATCACTCCAACCCCTTTACCCAAACCACACATACTGTATATCCATAATGTTTGTAGGGTTTTTTTTATTAGTGTTTGTAGGTCTTAACTGAGTCCTCCTCCAAAGCATAGTGGGTTGTGGGAAATATTAGCTGTTAGAATGTGCATGTATCTGCACTTTGAAAATCCACCAGAAAAGTAGACTATCAGTGTATCTTTGGGATTCTCAGGGTTTCTCTCAAGTCACCTTTAATTATGATTGAGTGCCCTAGTTTTACAGGCTGTGCATTGAGTTATTGATTTACAATAATTGCCCTGTAGTCTGTTGCCTCACACCTCAATAGTCAATTATAGGAACAGTACTTTGAAACCAGTATGTTGTTAAGTCTAAATCTGAAAATCCTGAACTCTTTAATTTAATGTAGGAATTAAAAAAAATTTACTCACAAATGGCCGTTCCTTCCAGTAACATGTTCAATGCATGTCCTTCAGCCTTTGTTTTGTTCTCAGGTCGTGTGCTGTGTGATATGATTCCCTGCCTGTTTCTGCATAAGAGGAAATAACTCTCCATACCAGCAAGTGGCAGTAGTCTGTATTTATCATTCAAAATGGAACCCGAAAACTAGGGCTGCATCAAAAATTGCATATTCTCTTCAATAAGTGATTACTTAACAACTATTTAAAAATTATGTTCAGTATAGTATGCCTGTATATAGAATGAATATAATCTGGACATACCAGATGTCATGTGACCTACCATTGTCATGAATACTGTGAATACTACGGATATACTTTTCCCATACAGTTTTTCACCTACTATACATTAGGGAAGTATGCAAATGTATGTGCAATATGTATTTAAAATGTATTTTTGATGTGGTGTGATGTTCCCTATAAAGGTTATGGAAATGGCAGCCAAAGGTGTGAAGCAGGTGACTTTGGAGCTTGGAGGAAAGTCACCACTGATCATCTTTAAGGACTGTGAACTGGAGAATGCGATAAAAGGGGCCCTCATGGCCAACTTCCTCACCCAGGGAGAGGTGTGTTAAAAAAAATATTTAATTTCTGTTTCAGCCACACACTATTTATAGACAGAAAGCCACTTGATCACTTGTTTATTTGCACTTTCAAAGTGGACATTTTTAGATGACCCAGATGAAGCTCAAACCCACAATTCTCAGCTTTCACATGTACAGCTTCTTTAGTGTCTTGCTGCACTAATGTAGTACTGTAATGCATATAAATCTGAAGACATTTCTAGAAGACAGAGCTTCTGTATAAAAGGGCGACATATATAGGACGACAGTACTGTAACTGCTGATCCCCCCCCAGGTCTGCTGCAATGGAACACGGGTGTTTGTGCAAAGGGAGATCATGCCACAGTTCTTGGAGGAAGTTGTGAAGAGGACCAAGGCCATCCCTGTTGGGGATCCCATGTGTGAAGAAACACGCATGGGTGCCCTCATCAGTAAACCTCACATGGAAAAAGTGCTGGGCTTCATCAAGCAAGCAAGAGAACAGGTACTGCAGTACAGTGATTAAAAGTCAATGACAACATGAAATTAATCTATTTTGTAAATGCATGTTATAGGTTTTATTGTGAACGATTTGTATGAATATGTTTTTAAACATTTTTGACCTCTTACTTTATTTTTTGACCATGTTTAAGATGTCAACTCAATCTTCTACTGAAAATGACAGACTTCTCACTGGTTACATATGCCAGACTTATCCAGTCAATTTGTCCACCTAAACCCTCCACCTCCACAATTGACAACAAGCTTGCATTCATGTTGTTGTGTTTTGTGCAACACCCACATCTAAAAATCCAATCCACAACTGATGCATTGAACTAAGTCCCTGTCCTACTTTTTATTAATTTTTTTTCTTTTCCAAAAATCAGACTCAAATATACCTCACGTTATGTAAGACAAGGTCTGTCCCTCCTTCCATTTTATCATGACTTGAACTACTTTATTCTACTGTTTGTTCAAATATTGTTTATGTAGTTGAAAAAATGTTCTCATTGTTTTTTCAGGGTGCAAAGGTTTTATGTGGAGGAGAACAATTTCTTCCCAATGATCCCAAACTGAAAGATGGGTACTTTGTGTCCCCATGTGTGCTGGGTGAGAAAGCCATATTATTACCTTCATATGAATTTGGATGTTATTTAACAAATGCTTTAACTTTATCTCAAAACCAGCTTGATTCTGAGCCACCATTTCTTTATCTGTACTTACTTTTACTTTACTGCAACACACACACACAGATAATTGCAGGGATGATATGACCTGTGTGAAGGAGGAGATCTTTGGCCCTGTGATGTCTGTTCTGCCTTTTGACACAGAGGAGGAAGTTCTTCAAAGAGCCAACAACACAACATTTGGCTTGGCATCTGGAGTCTTCACCAGGTCACGCCACCATACAGCAATATAATATAGTATACTTCCTGGTGATGCCTGTTGTTTTATACTAAGCTCATAATAAACTAGGAAACTTTTTAGCATTTTCATTTACAAAATAATTCATTTAATAAAGTCTTTTTGTAGAGTTTTTGAGTTTTCTTGTAACCAAATCAGTTATCTACAAAAATATAATAATATTGTAAAGATTAATTTCTATGAATCAGAATTTATTTAATCACACTAAATTAACCCAGTAAACTGCCTACCCTAATAGTAGATTTAACATTCTCCTGTGCTGTGTTTTTACAGGGATATAGCTCGTGCCCACAGAGTTGCTGCAAACCTTCAAGCAGGAACATGCTACATCAACAACTACAATGTTGGCCCTGTGGAAGTTCCTTTTGGAGGCTACAAGATGTCAGGTACTCCAAACTTATAGTTTCATGGGTGATTATCGATGGTGTCATATACAGGAAAAAACTGTAAACCTCAATCTGTTCTGCCAAGTGCTTTAGTACTCAAGTATATTTCATAAATGCTAGAGAGATCTAACATATTATTATTCTGCTTTTCATTTAGGGTTTGGAAGGGAGAATGGACAAGTGACCATCGAGTACTACTCTCAGCTCAAGACTGTTGTGGTGGAAATGGGAGATGTGGAAAGCATCTTTTAGGCTTTTGTGGCATTAACCACCAGCATTCCTGATAGCAATGTGATTTCCAAAGTTCTAAGATCTATAGCTCTATCTATGAAGTTTGCAGTGTAACATATTAAAATACATTTTATAACTAACCTTTACTTAAAATAGCCAAAAGCTACACAGTTGTTGCTTTGACAGTCTATATGTCTGTCTCAGACTTCCAGATGATCCAGATTGGTATGATATTACCAAAATGTAAGAACACTAGAAAAGGCTTTACTGTTTCAGTTCTGTGAAACAGAATTTTCTAAATGCTCATTAAAAACAGTGCCTTCTAATGTTTCTACTACAGTTTTATTTCACAAATTTATTATACTCGCTTGGTGTTAAGACTTGTTTGTTTTTCGTCACTTTGTCCCTACCTCTCGACGCCATGAAGAATTGGTATTAGACTGGTGGTTGACAAGTTTGTAATATTTAAAATAAAATTACATTGGATATCAAGAGCAAAAAACTGTCTGTACTCTTAACTTCACTTTTATGTAACTTATGTCTGTGGTGTCACAGGTTACATATGTGTGCCCTTACAGACAATGATAGGGACTATTGTGAATGAAAATAATTTAGTTACATTCTATTTATTCCTCAGCTAAATTAAGATAAGATGAAAACAATGCCACTGGAATCGGTTTGCATTCTACTAGATTGCTGCAACATGTATGTATAATGCATGCACTTGAACATCAATCGTCATATTCTCTAAATGTGGATACCTTTTTACAGAATTCGATTGGTCCTAGAAATTGTCTGTCTCTATAATGTATGACACCGATGGGGTTCTTCAAAGAGAAATGGTCTCCCTCTAAGATTATGAGCAAGTCACTGACAAACAAATCTGTGGGGTGGGTAATTAAGAAAATGAGATTGTACACCATAGTAAATAGCATATTTATCTTGGAAGAATTATTTGTACATAAGACTACATTTACATAATGAAAAGAATTAAAAAATATGTTAGATCTCAGTCTGCATATGTGATAGACAAAGGTTATATTATGATCATCTGTGGTATCTCCTTTTAAGACATCTTTAGTAAAACAACAGCTCCATATTCAACGGACAACATACAAATCACTTGATCCGGAAGCAACGAGACCTGCGGACGGATGTCTGTTGCGCATAACCTCAGAAAACTTCCGAGAGAAGCAAATGACTAAAACCGGGCTCACACTACAGGAGTTTTAAAATCCTAACCGATTATGAAATCTGGTTGCAGCACACACATACGGAGAATCTTTGCAGATTATTTTACCTCAAATCTTAAACATACACACACTTCAAGATTTGAAAATCGTGGCGCATCACACCCGATTATGAAATCTGGTTGCAGCACACACATACGGAGAATCTTTGCAGATTATTTTACCTCAAATCTTAAACATGCACACACTTCAAGATTACTTTGAGCACACACTAGGTTACAGATTACAAGTTACCCTATTTAAAATGTAACTGATTACTTTTGATTACTTTTATAAATTTCTAATGAATGTTTATTTGCAACTGTTAATCATTTTCAAACATTTACACCATGCAGGGTTAACCTTACAGTAGTACTCGACACTGTCAGACTTTCAAAATCCTTCATCACTTGAATTAAGATAATCAAGTTTGAACACATCCACCACAAAATCAGAGTTTAGTACCACCTTTTACTTTGAGATTGATCTGAAGTTCAATGCAGATTTAAAATAATAAGAAATAGTTTACTGATACTGTTTTTGAAACCAAATCTTTGCATAACTACAGGAATCACTGCATCTAACAATGGTTTGGGAAAAAATAGCGAATTAAAAACTAATAATAAATAAAAGCATATACATCTACTCAAATACGGTTATCTAATAAGCATGTGTCCTATTCTGTGTACTAAAATCCTGATTGGTGTCTCTTTGTATATGATATGATAGTTTTCTCAAAATAAGTAAAATGCTCAAGAAGTGACTCAGAGCAGTTCTGGAGATTATGTTTATGTGTTCATGTACTCATATATTGAGTTTCAGAGGCTGAAAGCACTGCGAGCTTCAGTAGGCCTATGTGTAGTAAATGAAACCGCATGTCTGCGCCATTAATGTCCACTAATTTCAGGCCGGGAAATCTCACTCGTACACCCACAACAAATTCTGAAACATGGACAACCCTATTTTTTGTATGGACCTCACATAAAAAAGGTTTAGATCCTTAGGTTGGGGACATGGAAAATAATTAAAAGTTCTCTCCTGAACTGCACCTTCACTTACATTTTTCTTTTCAGTCTCTTTATTTTGCCGATAACTATCTCTCACATGACTTTAATACTCAAGATTTAACAAAACTATACTTTCTAAATTGCCTACATGTCAAAATTAGTACATCACCACAATATCTTTATAGAAAAATCCTAATACTGAACATGAGTCATGTTTTTCCCTTACAAAAATTAACCATGCTTTTATTATAGTAAAAGTACAGTATGTTTTTCTTTTGGCAAATGGATTACCTTTTGTAATTATTTTTACTACAAATTCCATCGTTAAACTATGGTTAGTGTAGCAAAAACCATGGCTAATTTGTGGTTACCATGGTTTGACAATTGTAACCATTGTCTTTGGATTTATAGTAAAATCATAGTTCATTTTAGTAAGGGTTGTGTTGTTGTCTGCCCTAGCGCCTGCTGCTTAAGTAAACAAAGACAAAACTACACAGCAAAATCACCAGAGTTAAAATCCTGGTGTTATGGTGTTTTAGAGTAAAGTGTTAATGTTATGGTGTTGAATTAACACGGATGGTGTAAAAGTGATACCCTGACTGGTGAAACTACTGAGAGTCTGACCTCATTAACACTGGTAGTGTGATTACACATCCGGGACATTTAGGTGGTGCGTGCTTCAACCAGCCAAAACTCTTCTCGCTGACGCCATTTTATTTGAATCGCCACTCGGAGCGACTAAGCGTATGTGTTTTAACTGCATACATTATTATACATTTATAATTGGAGAAGTGCATAAAGTAAGTAATGTATTTCATAGAGTTATGTAAATCATTGTTTTCGATTGGGTTTAGCTGTACTGTTCAAATTGATTTGATATGGACTTTAATACTTGACCTGGTTGATTGAAAAAACTAACAAAGCTATTTAATAGGTCGGTGTAATTTTATATATTTTTATTTTATTTGTACATTTCGTTAAAAATCAAGTTTGTGTAGCGTTGAGGGCACGCTGCGCGCGCTGGAACTTTTCTCACAGACCATTTGTTTCGACTGACCCTGCAGACGAGGCCAGTGCTCATTTACTGGAAATATAGACGGTGAGTTTTCTTTGCAATATGTAATTTATAATCTCATTATTTAAAAGCAATATTTTCTTGACGTGCTGTCCTAAAAGTGTTAACTTCCCACATAACGTACATCATTTTCTCCAGTTCGGGCTGCAGAGCAGATAAGACGGCCTACGTTACAAATAAACTGGAAAAAACGCAGAAGGTAAGTTAAGTTCTTTAATTTATGAAGATAAGCGTTTCATAAATCGAAATAGTTCGATAAATCATTGTTTAACGTTAGACGTTTGTTTTAAAAGCCTGTTCCAATGTATTCGATATGGCTGACTGAAACAACCACTTTTAGTTCCTAAAATTTTTCGAATTTACCAGCTATTTTGATCAAATTCAGTTTAGAATATTGTGTGTATGTACGTGTAAATAATGTTAAGTTACTGTCAAGTTTGTGTAGCGTTCTGGACGTGCTGCGCGCTCTTTACGGCCTGAAATTTCTCGAAGACGCCATTTTTGACTCACCATGTGGAGAGGCGAGGCCAGTGTCAGTCTTTATTTAACCAGCTAAAACGGTCTATCAGTTATCTCATAATTAAAATATCACTGTCACCCAGTCCTAAGAAGTGCTCAGTGTAAAGTGTAATGTAGTTAGACAGGGGTTTTCAAAGTTGTGGAGCCAGAGATACCTGACGGGAGAAAATATTTTAATTATAAGTTAGTGTGGGAGGGAGTAACGTTAACCGACATGTTTAAACAGTCCCCATTTGCTTGTATAATCTCTCTTTAGTAATACAACACACATTTTCCTTAAAATACATGAGGCATGACAAATGTATCTATAGAAACCTTGAAGTGCCCACTTTTAATGTGCTTTTATTTGTTTGTTTTTAAATTATTGTTATTATTATTTATTTTATTTTTTTGCTTATTTGGTGTTAAATGCATTATATAATCATAAAAGTCACTATGGAATATAAATCATAGCAGGTTTCAGATAATAATACAACTTGTAGAACTGAAAATATATAGCAAATTATTTTATGATGTCACAGACAAATAAAAAAAAATTAAAGTGACTCTCTACACAGATGTTTTAAGACCTTTTTTTCCCTTTAGGTTAACGTCATGTTTGTGAAAGTGCCATTCAAAGACTCCAAGAACTTCATAAAGTTGCAGAATGGATTCACTTTTACAGATTTCATAAATGAAGGTAAGTGTCCTTGTTTTTATCTTATTTGAAATTATGGGCATTTGAAAGTATTCTCGTATTGCGTAATATCGTTACAACCCCTAAACACAAAAAGTTGTTTTGAAACATGTAGTGTTATTTACAAATTATTGACATGCAAGAAAAAAAAGCTCTTTTAACAATGTAAAATACTGTTACAGTCAAACCTGAACATTGTGTTATCTGTGTTTGTCTGTGATACCGTTTCTTCCACTTTGTGCTTGTGTAATTAGTGTAATATTTGTATAATCATGTTAATATAGACTAACTAATGAAAAAAAGTCAGTAATATCATTTATCACAATTGATTTCTGGGACAATATGTAGCACCAAAAAGTATTTATTGTGACAGGCCTAAGAATGATATATGAGCAAACTATTCTTTTATTGTTTTAACTTAGATAGTGCTAGCTGCCTTGAAAGAAAAATCAAAAGTAGATGAAGTCCTTGAAGAGTACATGGCCACCGATACTTTGTTAAATTAAATGAGAAGAGCACTTGTTAACATACTGGTGGGGCACATGACAGAGAGGCATGGGTGAGCTACATTTTCACATTTAAGATAATTGATTGTCATATTTTTTTTAAATGTTTTTTATTCACCTAATAATTAAGGCTGAGACATAAATGTATAATCTAAATGTAAGACTGTTTTTTGTATGCATGTTCTGTCACTTACGTGCTGTCCCATCCCATATACAGTGGGTACGGAAAGTATTCAGACCCCCTTAAATTTTTCACTCTTTTTTTTATATTGCAGCCATTTGCTAAAATCATTTAAGTTATTTTTTTTCCCTCATTAATGTATACACAGCACCCCATATTGACAGAAAAACACAGAATTGTTGACATTGAAGAGTACATGGCCACCGATACTTTGTCAAATTAAATGAGAAGAGCACTTGTTAAAATACTGGTGGGGCACATGACAGAGAGGCATGGGTAAGCTACATTTTCACATTTAAGATAATTGATTGTCATATTTTTTCTATATTTTTTTAATGTTTTTTTATTCACCTAATAATTAAGGCTGAGACATAAATGTATAATCTAAATGTAAGATTGTTTTTTGTATGCATGTTCTGTCACTTATTTTTGTATGCATGTTCTGCTGTCCCATCCCATATATATACATTTATTTTTGGTAGGAGGATTCCAACCCAGAAGCAGAGAGAGCAGTATGCCCTTGGAATTGTTACTTTGTTTCCATCATTGAAAGACCCATTTTCCAAGAAGGGATATGTAAGACTTTTCCCATGAAATTATCAAATGTTTTTACTTGAAGGAATTGATTGATAAGTGAAATCGTCATCGCTAAAATTCACACGACTTTGTGACTCATTTCACCTGCTATAGATTTAGATGTATGAATATAAAATGGTCCTGTAGCAAGAAACTTGACTAAGACATCTCCTGTGCAATGTCTCCTGATGTCAGCTGAGAAAACCCCTGAGAATGCCACAGATTCAAGTAGGCAAAAATAGTAAATAAATCTGATGATAGTCATACTTTTTGTCCCATTCCACTCTATAGAGTTTAATGTTCCTTTTTTGTTGTTGCTGTTTTTATCTTACCACAGACTGGGACAGTGATTTATCTACACTGCTTTTACTGGTTCACCTTCTTCCACCATCTGCTGGGTGAAAAATGGCTGCAAAAATAAGTGCCTCTGATGCAGTTGAGAAACTTGTGGTGTTTCATAAGGTATAATATTATTTTTCGTTTTTCATTTTTATACTTGCAATCAGTTTAAACCTTGTAATTTAATCAGTACTTTCTTCAGTTAACATTATTAACTTAAAAATGTATCAGTAGTTTTAAGTAAGAAAAATACTAGTTAAGAATTATGTGTTTTTCTTGCATTGACTACAGAAACCATTGATTAATGTACTGAGGTTGTATCTTGTGAAGTTTGCCATCAGAAAAGTAGAAGGTTTTTTTTTTTTTTTTTTGAAGGGGGCATGCGTTTGTGTTCTCTATTTTGAGTGTTCAGGGTTGCATTGGACAACACTGGCAAAACAACAATGCTTTGGAATATATGTTGCAGTTTGTTTCAAAAGACAAGCAATGTATAGTCTGAAAAATGCGATTTTTATAAGATTACCAAGCGTTTAATTTTTTAGGTCTATTATGTTACCTGTAAAATGTTTTAAAAGACTGAAATTGGAAGGGTAACTTGTTTATTTTTCACCTTTGTAGTCATGCTGCAGCATTGACGAGCACCTGGGGAAAAGCCAAAGTCATCAACCATATCTTATAGCCATGGGGAGGAGTCAAGACATGATTGACAGCTACTACATTGCTCTGGATAACAAGCTTATCCCTGGTCAGACGGCTGGTTCTCTGGGTGCTTTGTTTTTCAGCTTGATAGGAGGACATGTTTCCAGGTCCCTTGCAGCCTTGTGGTGATTGTGGAATCAAATGAAGAAGGAGACCAATTGATGCAATATCGCTGTCCCATTCTAAATAACAGATATGACAACTTTAGCAAAAAAATGCATGAACACAGAATATAGATAAAGCATTAATATAGATAATCTTATTCTGAAATATAGTCTAACCTTAGAAATCGGTTTCATCTTCCTTTACAGCTGATTCCGAGGTCAATTGGGTCCTTGAAGGTCTTGGGAGAAGCCAGGAACTTGGCTTCTTGAAAAGAAAAAAAAAGAAAAAGCAATTAATGACAACAATATATCTCTCAGGAACCATTCGGGTAAGCTGATTGTGTAGTCACACAGTGGCTCTGTTCACACCTGGCATTAGCACGCATTTTGGGTGACGCATATGGCCACATTCTTTTATTACAGGGTTAGTTCAAAAATTAAAATTTCATCAGTTTACTCAGCCAAGACTTTTGTTATCTTTGAAACACAATTGAAAATATTAGAATATAAGATTTCTGTCCCTTAAATGACGGTCCAAGCAACTACCACTTTGATACCTCATAAACTTCATTAAGAGATCTAAACCATAAAGAGAACTAATCCATACGTATCGTGGTTTAGTCCAAATTTTCTGTTTTTCTGTTTATGTTCCCTGATCAATGTTTAAATGTGAAAAAAAAATTAAATCTGTTCATTGTAAAGCGATCGAGTCTCTTCAGAAAATTTGGACTAAACTGCTCGATTCATTTGGATTAGTTTTATGATCTCTTCTTGAAGTATCAAAGTGGTAGTTGTGTAGTTGTGTAGATTGTCGATGGAAGGACATTTTCTCATTTAAAATGAATTCATTTGTGTTTTTAAATGTGAATGTCTTTACATTTAAAAACGTTTCCACTTGTTTCTTAGTCGAGCACCCAGTTGAGATCAATGTGCGTGCTTTTGCCTGCTCTTCACCTTCATTTGTGTTTTGAAAATGAATGTAAGTCTTGCAGGTTTGGAATGACAGAGAGTGAGAAATGATGACAATTTTTAATTTTTGGGTCAACTAACCATTTATCTTTTTGCAGTTTGATATCTTAAATTAATAATTAGAAAATTCCAGGTGTGAACATAAGCTGATATTGTGTGCCTGCCCAGTTCAACTTTAATTTTTCATATTCATTTGTGCGTTTTAAATTTGTACTGCACATAGAATAACATATAAATGACACAGACTCACAATTCTGGTGTCATCTTCAGCCTTCTTCTCCTTTCTTGAAGGGCTTCCATCACTCACACTCAGTGTCATCAGACTCCCAGTTTGCAATCTTATGAGAGGAGCTTCCTTCACTTGACACTGCAGAAGTCTGGGCCAATTCTATTGAAAAAGGATAAAAAAACAACAACACTTATTTCAGTCATTTAAATTTACATTAGGACTGTAAATATGGTAAAATAATTGTGATTACCCCTAATTTTGAGTATGCTGAGAACTGTCTATAATACGGGTGTCAAATCTTAAACTTAAATCGTACATTTTTTTTTAAAACATACTTCATTCTAGGGTCAATTAAATGAAACATTGTGCAATATTCACATGGAGGCCTGAAACAATTTAAGTATTTATTTAATCTGATTATTAAATGCATTTGTATAATTTTAATGAGTAACAGGAGTAATAGTCCTAGTCTTAAATTTATCATTTGTTTTACTTCATTCAAATGAATATGACTTTTCTAAAAGAAAAATATTTGATCTGTTTTTGTTAACAAAACAAAAACTTATAAATTCATTTATATTCATTAAACTAAATGGAGTAACTCAAAATCCAGTTTTGCTCATTTTCTAACAGCCTTTAAAGCTTATTTGGAATCTGTAAAATTTGTAAAAAGCCCAAAGAACTATGTCGTTGCTAAATGAATTTAACATATGTTTGTGATGCCTTTTTAAATTTTCTTTTCCTTTGTGTTTTCGTTTTTTAGTTTTTTATTTTTGTTTTGTTAAAATTACTTCAAGTTGTATTTACAGAAGTGAAACAAACTTTTTTTTTTACTTTATTGAACAATGTAAACTTTACAACCATAAATGGCCTTAGAAGTGAAACTAACTGTGAACGTCAACTATTTCCGGGAGAGAAGTTGTGTTTCACTGAAGTCGCTCCGACGAAGACCATCATTAATGTTTTAAACCGCTTTCCGGTTTCGGCTGCAATGGAAAAGTAAAAAGTTTGATAATAAGTGGTGAAGTATAAAAAATGGACACAAGTGATTCTAAAGAAGATGGACCAACAACTAGGAGGAGAAGCGCCAGACAGGCACCCACGCAAGGTTTGACTTTCTAATACTCTTAACGTGGCTTAATGTACAACAATAATGTAACGTTACTACAACAGTGTCCAAGCACCAAATACTATTTACATGCAATAAATAGTATCTATTGCCAAAAGAGCGAATCCGTAATCCACGGCGAAAGACAATATTTTCATGTTAAGGGTTTGCTTTTTATATAGAAACCTGTTAAAGGAAACAGGCTCGCTTTGCGAGCGTAGCGTAAAACGTAACGACTCGCTGCTTGCCTTTAAGATTATGCGCATATCAGTGTCTGTAGACAGTATCAATAAATGCAAAACAAATTATGTCAAAGTCAATCTCTCCGTACGTTACTTTATTTGATAACGCTAAACTGCAATTTTCGTACACATGATTTCATGATTGTGACTGTACGTTACCTCTCATGCTAGTAATAATAATACGGAGAAAAATGTACTTCCAAAGCTACACTCTCTTTCTCTCAGTAGATTAAGATGCTTGTTATTGAACCTTTTTTAAGTATTTGCTAACTAGGCTGAACTTTTAAAATATCCACTGTTTAGCTTGAGCATATGAGCTAAAGGGCTAATAGTTCCGTTCTATATGATCTCTATATCGTTTAGTGTAAACATTTCATTTACATTTGATAGATTTCAAGATTATAAATAAAGTTCACAATGTATAGTTGCTAATGTCTCTGTTTACTTTAAAAATCATTCATTTTCTTGTCAAGATCATGTGGCGTGTCGGTTTCCGCTGGCGCATAACAAGCAAAAATACTTAACAAAAATCTTATAATTTGTTGACATATTTCTGTAAGGTTCACTCAGTTCCTCGTCTATCTTAGCTTTATATAGTGAGGATCTTAAACCCAGAAGCCCAATAAAGAGAACCTGGAAAATGAGGGAAGATGATGGGGCATCCAGAGCTGTCAATGGAGCCAAGGAGCCCAAGAGTCTCACTAAAGAGGATGAGGATGGTATGTGAAATTACAATGTTTTTAAAAATTCTCTTACATTTAGTTTTTCAGGCAAAACATCTTTTTAATGCTAATGTTTATGCTATTTTTTTTATTAAACCAAAACAGAATCCTCTGTTAAGAAGCAAAAGCTCGAAGAGAAGAGAAGGGTTATAAATGAGAAAGGTGATGGTTTAAACCAATCAGATGATGCAAATATGGAGATGGATGAGAAAGAAGACCAGGATGAAGAAATGAACTCGGATGAGGAGACTGAGCAGGAGCAGGAGTCTAGTTTGACAGGTAAGATTCTATATGAGGAATAAGCATAAGTGTTATAATATTAAATATCAAATAAATTTAACGGGGGTGTTATTTTCCTTCGGTGGGTTCCTCAGCCCAGCCTGGGACAGAAGAAATGCATCCAGCCCATGTAAGGGAGGAAAATCTGGAAAGTGAAGGGTCACTCAACAAACAAAGGCCTATTCATCTAAATATTAAGGCCACTGAAATACCCAAACCCAAAGCAGAAAATTACAGACCAGTCACAAAATGTGGAGGTTTGTTATCATTAATAAAATTACCTTTTGAATTACAATGAATAAATTTGCAATTAAACGGGCAGGGGCTCAAGCCACCCCCGGCCCGTCCCTTATGTGCACACCTCTGCTCACAAGTATCCTTTTCATTGCAGATGCCTCTAGTATGGGAGCTGTTCCACTGGAACATCAACAAGAGGTGTATAGATTGACAAATAGGAATAACATGAACTACCAGAATCATGTAACAGAGAAACACAAAAGTTTGTAAAACATTTTTATTATAAAGACTCATGGCTGTATTAGTTCAAAAGGGTGCTTCTACTAAATACTGAGCAAAGGGTCTGAATACTTAGGACCATGTGTTATTTCAGTTTTTCTTTTTTAATAAATCTGCATAAATGTCAACAATTCTGTGTTTTTCTGTCAATATGGGGTGCTGTGTGTACATTAATGAGGAAAAAAAATTAACTTAAATGATTTTAGCAAATGGCTGCAATATAACAAAGAGTGAAAAATTTAAGGGGGTCTGAATACTTTCCGTACCCACTGTATATATATATACTGTATATTAAAGTAGCCATATTTGTCCTTGTAAAAGTGCAAAATTATGCTTAATCACGTTCTTACTGTATATGATAAATTGTTTTCCTTCATTTGATTTAATCAAAGGTTGTGTTCTTACTATAGATCCCCCTGCTCTTAGGAGTTGGAATAGATACCCACCAACTGAACCCCAGAAGAGTTATGTCTACCAAACAATTCAGCTTCCTATCACAAGTCAAACTAATCACAAATACACGGGTAACATTTTTTTTTGTAGTTTTCCTTTTTATTACTATTATACAGCATTACTATTGTCAATTTTATTACTAAAGATATATATTCAAACATTTTACATTAATAGTTTTGTCTTATGCCAGTAAAGAAAAATTGATAATATTTAAGAAATTGTAGATCATAATTCTCTTAATTTGCCTTCAAGAATTGAAGAGTTTGCAGAAACCAGTCACCTCAAAAGCAAGTCCAGCCCCCTCCTCTAGAGGTATTTTCAGTCCTTCATCCATTCCTTTATAATTAAAACAATCAGATTTGTTTCACATCCACAGTGTTTTGTTAATTCAGAACTTCGTGTTTTTCTAGGCTGGACGTCGTACATATGCAAGTACAAGTGGGC